TGGGTCTTGCCCCCTTCGGAGAGTCAGTTCCCTTCAGTTTCCTTCCTGTAATTGGTCTGTAGGATGGATTAGGGGAGCTTTCAGCTCTGTTCTTGTGTGGTTCTAAGTGAGCTCTCTGTGTGCTGGGGGAAGCCAGTCATGTAGCAGCAGAATTGCCACCAAGAGACCAAAATGAGGTTTGGGAGTTTTCTCTGCATTCCAGTTGTCCACGCTTGGGTCAGTGCTACACATGAGAGTTGAGCTTGTATGTGATATTCTTTGTTCAGTCATTTCAGCTGAGAAGGAAAGTAGAACCAAACAGCTTTTAGAGGGCTCGTTGAAACAGTTTTTGCTCATTGACAAATTTGAGGGGCTGGGAACTTTGTTAATATTAGAAGTGTTAATCATGAAAAGTTTTCTGAATTATTGAAATCAAGTTCAGAGATTGAAGAAAGCAAGAACTTTTGAAGTGGTAATCCAGTTCCTGCTTAACTGAAAGATAAGATCGTATTCATTTGTTAGGAAACAGGCTAATTCATTTGATTAATCAGAGCTGTCTTTATAGGAAAGTCAATTCATTGTTGTCCTTTTTTTTTGGTTTTTGTTAGAGACTCTTTTACAAATGGAAAATTTACTACGTTTATTCTACTGTTGAGAATTTAAAATCCCTTCTTTCCAGGTTAATAGTACAGGATTATTTCCTCTAATCACTTCCTCTAAGGGAAATAGAATGGAGTTGTTTCTTGACCCCAATTTGCTTGTTTGAATTTCAAGCTTCTGTATTGGAAAATGGGAATCAAAACTCTTGCCTTGTTTCTGATAAGATTTCAGTTTAAAATTTAGTATGGGTGTTATACTTTTAAGAGCAAAATAAGGATTACACAAAGGACTTTAGGATTTTTCTGGATGTAGCATTCTTGATAAATTAAAAAAAAATTAGTGCTTAATATAGCACTGTACCAAGAAGGAAGTACTTCCTAGAATAAGAGATGGTGATTCAGTTGGTGCTGTAGCCAGTGTCAAATGCCAGCTAACTACACATGTGCTGCACATGTTTTCTGAACTGAAAAGCCTTTTGGTCAATGGTGGAAACATATTTCAACACTCAAGTAGTTTATAGCAATGGATATTGATTCATGGTGTAGGAATTAATTTCACACATTCATAGGATTTTAGTCTAAATGTCATTACTGGTCAATCAACAAGCATTTTTAAAGTGCCTACTTTATGCCAGGCATTAATAGTTTTTGCCCTCAAGGAACTTACATTTCTCATGTGGAGGAAACATGTGCATGTATAAGTAGATAGAGCTGAGTCTTTTTTAAAATAAATTTTTATTGCTATTTTAAAAATCAACTATACTTCCCAGCATATCTCTTCCTCCTCTCCCTTCTCCTCCTCAGAACCACCCCTCATAAAAAAATGGGAAAACAAGGAAAAAACAGTTTGTCAAAACTAACCAATACATCAAAAAACTCGAATGTTCAGTGCAGTGTTCCATGTCCATAGCTCCACGTCTTTGCAAAAATAGAGGGGATGAAGTGCTTTCTCATATCTCTTCTTAGGGGACAGGCTTGGTTAGTTCAATTCTATAGCATTCAATTTTTATTGTTTTCATTCAAGCAAAAACATTTACTAAGTGTTTACTCTGTGTCAAACACATCACAGGAGATAAAAAAGAAAGGTTCAACCAAGCCTAGCCTTTGAGGAGCTCATATGCTAATGAGGGAGACCACATGTAAATAACTAGGTAAAGCTAGTTAAGTAAATAAATAACTAACACTCGATAAATAACTAGATTTTCATACGAGATATGAAAAGACTAGATAGCAGGCAGTCTTGTAGGGGAAGGTACTACTAACTGGGAGGCCAGAGGAGGTCGAGTTTGAGCTGAGATTTCAAGGAAGTCATGGAAACTAAGAGGCTGAGGTGATGAGGGGGCAGCATTCTAGACATTTCATAAAATGACAAGCAAAGTGAAGAATGATGCTGAAGAAACAGCAAATAGGCCAGTGTAGCTGAATCATAGAGTGTGGAATGGATGGAAAGGAAGGACTGGAAAGGTAGCTTATAAAGAACTTTAATTGCCAAGCACAGAACCTTGTATTTGAACCTGGAGGTAATAATAGCAAGCCTTTGGAGTTTATTGAGTTGAGGAGTGACCTGTGTTTTAAGAAAATCATTTTGGCAGCTGATTGGAAGATACAGTTAAATGAGGAGAGACTTTTTGTTGTTGCTTCTATTTACAATGGCATTTTTATGTATATTGTTTTCCTGGTTCTGCTTACCTTATTTTGCATCCGTTTATATAAGGCTTTCCATATTTCTTTGTATTCACCACATTCATCATTTTTTATAGCATAGTAATATTCCTTTATATTCCTCTCTTACAACTCCTCTAGCTATTCCTATATCAGTGGGCATCTATTTTATTTTTCTAGTTCTTTGTCACCACAAAAATTGTGGAGTAGAGTCTTGAAAGAAACCAGAGATGGGGGGAGAGAGAAAGGTGGTGATAGTAGAACCCCCCCCCCCCAAGACATGGTGGATAGCCAGTGCAGAGGCATGGGGTTGAGAGGTAGGAGGTCTTGTGTGAAGAATGTCAAGAAAGCCAGTATTACTGAAGTGGATATAGAGTGTGTGGAGGGGGGAGTAATGTGTAATAAGGATGGAAAGATTGCATGGGCCATTGGGATGAGTGCTAAATGCCAAGTAAGAGAGTTTATACTTGATTCTGAGGGTAATAGGGAACCATTGGAATTTATTGAAATTGGAAAATGGCATGACTAGAGTTAGGAAAATTACTTTGGCAGTTGTATGAAATATGAATTAGAGAAGGGAGTCTGAAATATCTAGTAGGTAGTTGGGAGTGTGGAACTGGAGAGAGGTCAGGACTGGCTTTGTGGAGCTGGGAGTCATATACTTAGAGATAATGGAGCCTTTGGGAGCTGGTGAGGTCACTGAATAATAGTATAGAGATTGTTGTTAACCCACAGTTAGAGATGATATGAGTGACGAACCAGCAAAGGAGACTGAGAAGGAGAGGTTTGATGGGTAGGAGGAAATCCTAGAGAGAGTGGTGTCATGTGATCCGAAATAGATCCTGAAGAGCGTGCGGGAGGAGAGTGAGTGTTCAGCAGTGTCTGCCTCTACAGAGAGGTCAAGAGGGATGAGAAGAATGGAGGACAAAGTCATGCGTTTGACAGTGCATCATTATTAACTTTGGCGAGACCGTTTCAGTTGAGTGCTGAGGTCAGGAACTAGGTTGAAGAGGATTTAAAAAGTGGAGGCTAGGAAGAGCAGGCCTTGACATAGATGTAACAGTGAGTCACTGAGCATGACCTTGTGTTTATGGAGTGGTCCAGTATCTTCTGTTTTTGTGCATTCTAAATAAACTCACTGTGTTGTATCAGCATGCATTTAAAGTGTTTGTTCCAGCTAAAACCCAAATGTTGGTTGGCTAATACTTAAGGCAGTGATGAATGATCAGAATACTCATGAAGTAAATAATACTCTAATGTAGATCTCATTAATTTCTCTCAGATAATTTGGATCCAAGATTCTCATACCAAGTAAGCAATAGTAAAGGGAGAACGTTTGTCCAACTTAATAGACCAGACTGCTTTCAAGTGCTTTGGCAGTACCCCATTTTCACAGTTAATATGGTTAATACAAATTATGCTTATTCAGGGCCATGTCTACTTTAAGAAATACTTCTATCTGGGAAGACTTTGCAGTTTAAGCTACTAAATTAGTAGAAACTATATTTCATTAAAACTCTGATTCATTATTTTTATTAATTTTCCAAATAATTCATATTAAGCTTTGCTGTGTCTATAAGTAGACTATAAGTATTTTAAGTAGAAATAACTTAGCCTTAGGAATGGGAATTCTTGCATGAGGAAGAACTCTTTGGAGGTGTGGAGAAAGGTTAAAATTAGCCACTAGTACATTTTAAAAAAATACTATAAGCTAGAAAAGCAAGGGAAGATGTGTAAAATGATGCCAAGTGAAGTAAGCAGAGTCAGATAAACGATATACACAATTACAATACAAATAGTTGAACGTGAATGTTGCAAAATTATTGCAAAATGTTGCAAAAATAAAGAACAAACTTCGCCTCCAAATAGAGAGATGAAAAGACTCCTCATTGCACTTCTTAGAGGTGAAGGGTTCCATGGGTATAGAGCATTGCGTATAAAATGAGGGCTTTTTGATGTATAGATCAGTTTTGCTTAATTTTTCTTCCTTTTTTTCTTTTTTTTTAATCTTTTTTTTAATAGAGAATGACTTTCTGGGAGGGAGGGAAGAGAGAAGAGGAAATCTAGGTGATTAAAAACAAAATATATTAATAAAATATATTTTAAAATATAAAATACTGTAAATTGTGTAAGGACAGCGAGGTGACAGTGAATGGAATGTCATACTTGGAGGCAAGAAGAGCTGAATTCAGATAACTGCTTCAGGCTCTTAATAGTTATGTGTCCCTGGCCAAATCACTTAACCTCCCTCAGCCTCAGTTTCCTCATCTGTATAATGAGGATAATAATAACACCTGCCTCATAGCGTTGTTGTGAGGAGTAAATAACACGTGTAAAGTACTTTGTAAACCTAAAGCACTATCCAAATGCTAGCTATTGTTGTTATTATTGTTATTGTTGTTATCTAGCATAAATCATTGGCGTAAGGCAGTATGGTAGAGGAGGAAGAATTAAGAGACCTGGAATTAAATCTTAGATCTATCACTAGCTTTGTGACCTTGTGTGAGTCACTTCACAATCTGTGCTTCTGTTTCATTTATAAAGTGAGGGAGTTAGACTAGATGATCACTGAAATCCTCTCTAGTCATAATGTTGTATGAGTCAGATTTGATTGTGATGATCCCCCTTTCCCAAGAACTCAGTGGTTTGAAGGCAAAATTCATTCATCAGTATGCAGAATGTCTAGATTTCATGCTAACTCAGATATAGACCACATGTGTGTTTGAACTTTTTTAGTAATGGAAATTTGTTCTTCCACAGGTATCAAGGTTACATTTATACCTACCGAGTGTCCCAGTCAGAAACAGGTTCTTGGAGTGCTGAGGTATAGAGTTTTTTTCTTTTATTTATGCTTACTGTGGGAGGTAATGATGTGTATGGAATTGAGGCTGTTTTTACCCAAGAGCAGTTGAATCAGATGACACCAAAGCATTTTTCAGAACCAATTTACCGTAGCGCAGCTGTATGATAACATCACTGTAGTTGTGAAATTAAAAAAAATGCTTGTATATTATTAAGAAACCTCCAGAGGCACTAACTTATTATTATTTAGTACTGATTCAAAATTCACCTACCCAATTTCGAGGAAGGATATGAAATTGAGAAAAAGTGTATCAGATTTTCTTTTCTTTCTTTGATTCAGAAAGTTCCAAATACAAAGCAGATATGAAATATATAGGTAAAATAAATTAGAAAATATTTATTGAGAGCCTACTATGTGCCCAGGTTGATACTGATGTTGTGAGATATAAGAGAGTATGGTCTCCTGCCCTGGAATCTGTGATCTCACTGGGTAGACAAGATCAATTCCTTTGAAACAATAGAGTGATAAAATATTTGGTAGAGCCATGATTTCATCCATGTGGGGCCTCTGATGCAGAACACCATCCTTCTATGCCATACGAGACTTCATGGAAGAGGGAAGTCTTGAAATGGGACTGGAAGGTTGGGTAGACTATAGATAGACACTCTGTGTGTATGAGACTCATTAACACATCCCAAGCATGGTATCTCATATTACCAGTGCTTTTTTGATGCGGTTACAGAGAATATTCAACAACTGAAAAATCTATCACAAATGCTTTTGTGGGCTCCTGACCCTTTGTAACAGTCCCCCTTGCTTATAAAAGTAGCTTATTATTAGCTATTTGCATACACTAACACTTGAATAAACTTATTTATAGATTGCTTATTATTATTATTATTATTATTTCGCTACACTTGTGTGTTGGCTCTAGGCATGACCCTGCTTAATGTGTATTACTGGCTTCCTTAGTGATAAAAATCTATTATGCAGAGATGACAAAGAATAGGATAAAGGAAGAAATGGTGATGGGGAAGAGAAAATTGAATAAAAAATACTATGAATGTAAAGATACTTTGGTAAAATGTTCAGTTCTGTATGTATTTAAATAATTATTTTTGAGATTTTATATGAATTTAGTTATTAATCATACAACTTATTCCCAGTTAATAAAATTTTAAAATATGAGATATATTTGAAACTTTTTAATTCTTTAGGCCTTAACATAATGTGAGGAATTTTAAATGCGACCAAGATGAATGTTAGTGTAAGTTTAAAAAAAGTTGTGATATTATCATCAAGGAAGCTAATATTGTTACACAAATCAATGGAAAAGCTTCGTGATTTCCAGTAAGAACTTATTTTTGCCTTTTAAAGAATCATCTCTGCAGAGATGCTCGCAAACTTAATCTTCACTCATTGTACATGATATTAGTAATTGTGGCATGTATAACACATATTATTCACGTGTGGCGGAAAATGCTTCTGGGTCAAGGACATTTTGTTTTCAACTTGTTTTCTGCTGTGCTTTAACCTATATAGCACCATGTGCAAACTGACACTTGTCATGTGCTTTTCATGATGCTAATGGGGAGAAGGTCCACTGAACACGAAAGTCTGGCATATTCTAACACCGAATAATGTAGTTCAATTTCAATTATTGCTCTAATGGAATGGAAGTGGCAGAGGATTATCCCGAAATAGCAGGTAATCCAAAGAAACCTTTATGTGTTGGTTTTTGGAAGGCATGATGTGAGTTTTCTCCCCTAGTAATTTCTCCCTTCCCAAGTTTTTGCTGCTGTGGTTGTTAAACTAGTTTACATTCCCAGAGCATATGCCCTTTGACTGGGGGAAGTGTTCCCGAAGCCTGGATAGGAAGGAAGAAGGTAGTCTGAGGGCCAAACAATTTTCATTGGATAATTGAGATCTGACTATATGGAGGATATGCAAATATGAATCACATTTAATTAGCTCAGCACCAAGATTTGGGAGTGTTAATGAAATTCTTATGCCTTCTGTTTTTGAAATGTATTAAATGAGTACAAGATTTACATTGCTTTTTTGGACCAGCGATTTAGCTTTCCCTCAAGGTAGAAAAAAATGTCAGTACTTTTGTGAACATAAAAGGTGTGTTAGGAATATGGGCTGGTGGTGTTAACATTTTTTTAAAGGGTGAACATGACATCACATTAGAATGTGGGTCCACATCAAATGTAGAAAACAAATGTCCTCAGTGTTTTGAGTTAGAGATTGGCATTATTGGCTTGATCGTGGCCTTAGTACATTTATTTCCCATCTGCTGACCTGTGATGAAAAGATATTAAATCATTAATAAGTGAAATAATTCTATATCTAGGCCTCTGGATTGTACTCACCCGTCTATTAGCTACAGTACATTTTTAACCCCAGAATGAATTCCCCTTACCATCTTCACTGTTTCTTGGCCTGTTTTGCTCAACTGTTAGCTGGTGTTTGACTCAGGGATAGAAAATAATTTTCTAAGTAGCCTACAAATAGGAATGGTTTTCTAATTATCCTTGTTATGCATCTCTCCATTAGCTTGGCTAATCAAGAGTTAACTGCTTTTATTATGTAACCACAGGGAAGAAGATGTTGCTACTGATAATAGTACCATAAGCCACAAGAACAGTTGAGAACATGCATAGTCTTAAATCTTTCCATGTCGATAAGAGTGTGGGTTGTCTGTTATTTGGGTGGGAACTCCAGCTTTTGTTAGAGCTAACTTAACTGAATGAAAAGAGCTGCTTTGGAAAACCGAAGACCTGGGCTTTAGTGCTTTCTTTGGCCCTCATCTATTGTGTCCCTTCTCATCTACCTTCCTTCATCTGTAAAATGGGAACGATGCTATCTACCCTGCCTGTTGGTTTGTTGGGATAAAATTAGTCAACAGATATGAAAGTGCTTTGGAAAGGAAAAAGAGTGAGAGTATTGCACTTAAAGGGCTCCACTTTTACAGTTTGGATGTCTTAACTTGCAGTCAAAGCACTCCCTGTTGGGTACCTGCATTGTTTGGAAGGGGAGATCCTCCATGCCATAGAAGTGCCCAGGAAGGAGTTTTGTTCAGGTTGAGCTGGGTTGGAGGAGAAATTCTGTAGCTGCTTGTATTGAGGCTCTCCTCTATATAAACCAACCTAGAGTTAGAAATTTACTTGGAGCATAAAAGTAAAAGAAAATTAATCTTGATACTTAAAAATCCACTTTTTTTCTAATATAAGGAATGATCAATTGACAGTGCTCTGTTTTTACCTTTTTGTTTCTTTGAAAGAAATTTACACTGCTCCCCAAGTTAAGAAAACAAAAAGAACACCCAATTCCCTTTCCCCACCCCCACAACCTTCAACACTGCAAATAGGAGTAACTCTAAGATAGCATGCTGTAAAACTAGTCATTGTTCAGAGAAATCATATTCATGTCATTAAAGTGACAGTTTTGAGCTCCTGGCTAAAGCTTGGTTCACATCCTAAACTTTTAGAGTTAATTGCTGGTGGCATGTCCACAGAAGGGACCGATGGCAGGTTCTGAGTATTGTTTTGGTAGTCATCCATGGAAAACGATCTCTTAAAATACGTATGGAAAGAAAACTCACCTTACACATACTTTCATTTTTATTTCATGGAAAGAATCACGACTCAGTGATGTGTCCAAGGAGAATGCAATTAAAGGTTGGTAGAGGAGTTTCTCAAGGAAGAGGGATATTGTTTAGGAACATGAAGGACATGCAGATTGATAGATTATGAAAGCTAAACCTATACTACAACATTTATGTGATAGAGAGAATATAACTTGTATGTTGTTGTGGTTTTATTCCTTGGGGTTTTTATTAATGACCTATAAGATCTGTGTTTTTTCTATATTTAACTGCACCATCTCCATTGGTGAATTTATTGTGGGTAATGGCCCATATATCCTTAGAGGTTATGGATATATAATGGGCAACATGCAGGAAGGGTAGGGAGGCGAGCAAAGAGCATGTGAAAACTAATGCCACCCTTGGGAGAACTGAAATGACAGCTCATTAGCAGTTCTTGCAGAGGAAAATTCAGCTAACCAAAGTAATATTGTTTTCTTCTCTTTATGTTTTCAAATATTTGAACAAGTACCACAAATATGAGCTCTATAGGTAACCTTAGCCTCTTTTTTAGGCTCTCCTGTACCATTATTAGCTAGATGAACCCTCTGCTTGATCCTTTATTTTACAGACGGCACCTGGGGTACAAAAAAGATTATTCCGGAAAATAAAAAATCTCATTTCAGCATTTCAGAAGCCAGATCAAGGCATTGTAATACCTTTACAGTATCCAGTAGAAAAGAAACCTTCGCCCAGAAATGTACAAGGTATTTTAAGTATAGTTAAGTTGATCTTTTAATATTCTGGCATATAAATCATTTGAGTTTATTGACCCAATGGAAATTCTGCTTGAAAAATGACATTGGATTGATTACCTCATTGATGCTTCACGTATTGAGAGATGTGGATGCTTATAGGCTGTGCTTTCAATGTTCTAGCTTACTAGGAATTGTTAGTGAAGTCGATGGATAGATTTCCTAAATTTATGAGCCCACATCGTTAAACTTTTTTTCCCTCTCCCGTTTTTTGACTAATACAATTGAACCTCATTAATTGAGATCTCACTAATTTTGAAGTTGTGATAATTCAGAAAGGTATTGGGCTGACATTTACTTTTTCTACAGATAATGGAAAGGTTATTGTTAGCCTGTTCACACGATCACAAATTCAGATTTAGCAAGGCTTTACTGTAGTAGAGTAAATTAAAGCAAGTAGTCTTTATTATTCCACTGACGTATATTGTTATATCCCTTGCACAAGGCTGTTTTTTATTAATTGTTTAGCTGAAGACTGGGAATAGTGGCAAATGTATTTTTTGGGGAAGCGCAATTATCAAGTTCATGTGTTTGTGCATTCTCAGAGTTAATCTTTTGTTTAAATTAAGATGATTGGCCTTGATTTAAGGCAGTGTTGATAAGCAAATGAAAATGTTTGAATTTTATGTGTTATATCTCACAATAAGAACCTAGGTTCATAGGTGAGCTGAAATTTAAAAATCGAACAATAAAAAATTCTGTACAATAGAAATGTCAACAACTCAAATTTATGAATTTGCTACCTGATCTTTTCAGTTGTATTCCGTAACTTATAACTGAGTTAAATTTAAGTACTATTTATTTGAAGTAAGGGAGGTATCTCCATATATGGTGTGAATAATTGGAAATTCCATTACTGGAGGTTTTAAAAAATATTTTTTAATGGTTTTAAAGCTTATTTCTAAGATTTTTGTGATTATTTTCCTTTAGGGAGAAGAGAAGACCCTGATGTCTACATGAAAGCACCATGAAAACACATTTATTTCAGATAATTTAAATAGGCCTTTAGGTGTTTTCTCTTGTATATAACCCCACAACTTTGTATATTGTAGATAAAATTAAGTGATGAACAAATTCATTTTTGAAAATATCATTCTTGTAATGGAAGCTTCTAGCCTGATGTTAAAATGTCCATGGCCTTTTCATGTAATCTGGAATTTTAAAATGAGAATTGGGAGAAAAAATACATGTACAAATAGGAAATGTTTGGTTTTAAACCAAGTGTGATGATTGGAAGCATAGTGGACAGATTTTTTTTTTTTTAATGTCAGTAAGGCTTTCTTTTTGCTAAACAATAAAAAATCCTTCAAGTCAAAATGAACTTTTTAGTGAAGTATTTTTGGGATTCACTGATTTTTTTTTTCAAATTATATTACTTGACTTTTTTGAAAGCCCAGGCATTACCTATTCTGTTCTGCACAGCAAATTTGGCACTTTTGATTAAATGTGGTAGTATTTCATCTTTTTTGTTTCATTCTGAAAATAATCTTGAGCATTATTCCTAAGTTGGTCAGTTAATCCTGTGAATCAATCTTGGGTAAGAAATTACAGAAGTTAAAATATGTCCATGTTGCTATTTGACTAAAGGATTTGTAATTATATGGATTTTTCTTGCCTTGCTTTGGGCCACATTCTCCCCTACTGGACTTACTGCTACCACATGAAAACTCCTTTTATTATTAATGGCAACTCTAAATTTGGAAAACAAACAAACAAACAAACAAACAACGACAACTGTTGCTGGGGCAGTTGGCTTCTTCAGTGCTTTTGTTGTTACTTCTGAATTTCTGATATAAAATGAGTAACTTGTTTGTAAGTAGCTCCATTTGTATTCTTAGTATTTTATTTATATGCCCAATCTATATTGATGGAAAGTTTATTAATTATTGTCTGAATTCATTTTAAAGTGTATATTCCTGAAACCGAGTCAGATTTACATTTTGCAGTGGTTTTTGATCTTGGCATGTTAAATTGGTCTGGAGGGCCAAAAAAGTTAACGTCCTCAGAGATTGCTTTACATAACCCTTAGAAGACTTTATTTAAATACGAACATTTTATTGTATTTTCTAATTATTTGTAGCTTTGTTGTTTCATGGGTTGACGAGGCCAAAGAATTCTTCACCAAGTGATCAGCACTGGTGATGAGCCTATCTATAGTGTTCTTAGAAAGCAGACCTAGTATGTTTCCAGGGCCATGCTCGAAGCGTTTCCAGCATGGAAGAAGCTGCCAGAGGTTTTTTGGCTGCTGTTTTCTGCTTTTGAGAATCCACAGTCATCTTTGCATCCCAGCTGAAGAATCAGAGTAAGACTTAATGGACACAGCTGCTGAAGAATTAAAGTGGCTGTTTACAGGATGCGGAGAAGTACATGGTGGATGTAAGTAAGTAGGCTGCAACAACATGTTTCAGTTAGAGAACTGTGCACGTGAACGAGTGTACTTATCGCCAGAGAAATGTATGATTAGAAAAGGAGGTTGGTAGGTTTTATAGAGAGATCATGGATGGGTTGTGATCTGTACCTTTGGGCCAAGTACTTGCCTCAGTGAGATCACAGACCCCTTCATCCCTGGTTAAAGGCTGAAGAACCATTTGCTTGGTGAGTTGTGCAGGGACTCTGGTGGAGGTATAGGTAGAACATAATGGGGCACTAAGGGGCCTTCCAACTCAGAGACTGAAAAGCTGCATTTCTTTATTTGTTTTAACAAATGCCCCTTTATTCAGTAGAGAAGAGTAAAGTAAAATACCTAAATGAGGCATTGCTGAAAGCTTTCTTAATTTTATTAGACTGATCCAACCATTCCTTGAAAAAGATTTTGCTGCTCTCAGACTTCAGCAAATGTATTCGTCTTCATTTCATTGGCCGGACTCTTATTCATGAAATTTCTTTAGCATCTATTTATCGTTACTAACATACTTGCTACTTCCCAGAAGTTAATCGTTTTTTACTTTTGTAGAAACTTCATATCTTTGCCCTATTACAAATATTGCTAATGTTAGACTAGACTTGTAAAATGCTGACTCAAGGCAAAATGATCATCTCTTACCTTCATTGGTTTAAAAGTGCTTTTACATATATATTATTTCATTTGATCCTCACAACTACTTTTTTGCTATTATCTCTTTTTTCCTTTGGACGAGGAAACAGGCTGCAAGGTTGTAGGGCCACACAGTTTGTAAGCCAGAGAGCCAGACTTCAGAGCTGTGTCTTCTGGCCTTTCTGGGCGGAAAAATCCCCAATTAGTAAATCCAGGAGGAACATGACAGCTTAATGAATACTTGTTCATTTCCTTTGAAGTTTGTACTTAATAGAGAAGGCCTTTGGCAGGTGATAAGGTTAGTAAAGAGTAAACTTAGATAATTGTCTTTGTCACAGGTTGGGACTTAATACTGTTTGCAGTGGTGTGTGAATAAGGCTTAGAGTGAAAGCTGTCGTCTTTGGGTGTAAATGAAAGGAAACCTTTAAGGAACTTCATTGGTAGAGATGGTGGAAGACAAATAAGGTGAGTAACGACTTAAAAACTCCTTAATGTTTAAACATGCATTTAATGTACTTCATTATTATGCAACAAAATCCAACTTTGTGTACATTAGGGTCAACAATGCCCATTCTGCCCACTGGTATGATATGTGTCTCTTATGACCACCACTGTTTATACCTGCCATTCTTGTAAAGCATATAAATAGAGAATAGAAGGTGGTGTTGAATTATTTTATTTAGCCATTTTCTCTGTTATATACTATTAGGCTCAAGCTGTCGTAAGCAGTCAGATTTTTATTTGGTCTCTTGATGCTAAATGCAGTATGTTTACATAGAAAAAGATGAGAAAACATCCTGGTCAACAATTGGTATATGTCTTGTGGTGTGAGGACTGGTATAGAGGCAATACATGTGTTTCATTTCAAGATGACGTGATAGAGGGGGCACTCAGAAGACCTGGATTTTAGTCCTGGCTCTGCCACTCATTAACCTTCTGTGGGCCAGTTTCCTCATTTGTCAAAAGAAGATAATGCTTCTACCTTACAGGATCATTGTGGAGGCTCAGATGACACGAGAACTTGACTAATATAAGATGGTATTCTGTACTTGTTACTTGTTGATCTCATGTTGGATTTGAGGTATGCTATTAGACGACAGTAGAACCATAGTATAATACAGTCCAGCAAGGGTTAACGTTTCCTTAGAGAATACTTCCAGAAAAAGATCTTACAGCTTAAACAATGCTTAGAAGATTGTTTGGCTTTATGTTGTGCATTTTGTGTCTCCAGTTACTAAGTACCTTTGCACTACTTAGTCCTGGGTATTTTTCTAGAGGGGGAAAGTGGTACTGGTTTGGGACTTCCAGAGTTTTAGTAAAGGTTTGTTTGTTGGAAAGTAACTGAGATAACTTTGCCAGGTGACAGTAAAATAAGTAAAAACTTATTTTTGATTCACTTTAAAAAAAAATTAAACCTGGTAATTTATCCAGGGCTTTACTTAGCCCTAATCTCTATAGCATCTCTTGAGTGTCTACCTTCCTCTCTAGTTATGCTGCCCCCACTGTCATATGGCCCTCATTTCTACCTGTTGGCACTATTTAAAAATGTTTTATTGATGCTTTTTTATTCATGTCTGTTATTATCCACTAATCCTGTCCTCCCTTCCACATTCTGAGAAAAGCCTTCCTTTGTAACAATGTGTAGTCAAGCAAAACAAATGAACACATTGGCTTTGTCTCATTCTGGACCTCTCTGATAAGAGGTGACTGGTGTGTTTCATCATCAGTCTTTTGAAGTTGTGATTGGTTGCCGCCTTGGCCAGAATTCTGAGGTCTTTCAAAGTCCCCCCCCCCATATTTTTATTGTTGCCACCATGTAAATTGTTCAGGTTTTGTTCACTTCACTTTGCATTGGTTCATGCAAGTCCTTCTGTATTTCTCTAAATTTATCATATTTGCAGTGTCTCAAGATCAAGTAAATTTCCATTACATTCATATACCACAGTTTATTCAGCCATTTTCCAACTGATGAACACCTGTTTTGTTTCTAGTTTGTTGATCCAAAAAAAGTGCTGTCCTAAATAGTTTATATCTGTAATCTCCTTGGAGTTTATCCCTAATAGTAGTATTATGTATGTACATTTCAGTGACATTTTGGGTAGAGTTTCAAACGTTTTTCTGGAATAGTTGCACCAGTTTACAGCTCTACCAACAGTAGTACATTACTGTGTCTGTCTTCCAACAACAGCTGTTTTCTTTTCATCATTTTTGCTGATCTGATGGATGTCAGGGTGGAACCTCAGAAAATGTTGTATTTTGTCTTCTATTTCTAGTGATTTGGAACATTTAAAAAAATATGGTTATTGATTGTTTACATTTCTTAATTTGAAAAATACATTTCTGTTATATTTTGCCCACTTCTCTATTGGGCAATGGCTTTTATTCTTAGATATTTGTATCACTTCTTTATGTGTCCTGGATATTAGACCTTTGTCAGAAAAAAATTGTTGTAAAGATTTTTCCCACTTTTTTGTCCTCTTATTCTAACTATATTTATTTTGCTTGTGCGATAGCTTTTCAATGGTGTGAAAACAAAATTGTCCTTTGATCTTTTATGGTCTCTGTCCCTTGTTTAAGTAAGAATTCTTCTTTCTGCCTGTATCATTGCAATAGCAATCCACCAACAAATTCTCCGTTCTCTCTCCTCTCGGATCCATATGGTTTCTAGAATAATTTTTTTTTGTGCACATATATCTGTTCATGTCACTCCTCTGCTCAGAAATCTTCATTGGCTCCCAAATTGTCTGACAAGTAAAGTTCAAACTCCTTTGCTTGGCATTTGAAGCCCTCCAGAATCCATCACTCCCCTGCCTTTCTGCCCTTCACAGTCTTCCTCTCCATTCATACTCTGTGCTCCTACCAAATTGAATTTCCTCTGTGACTGAAGACATACCTTGCCCTTTGTTGCCTGAGTATCTTTGCTCAGAATTCCTTATCCTTGGAATGTCCTCCCTTGGCTTCTTTGCATGTTGTATTTACATTCAGCAAACATTTAATAATTCTAGCTGGCTCTTATGGTATAACACAAATGCTACTTCTT